CATATATATATATATGTATATAATTTTCTAATTTTTAAGGACAAGCTTTCTATACTTCTACAACATATAACTTCTTTCTTTTTATCCAACCGTCCATTTTGAATGGCGGGTTAAGATTGCTCCAATCACAATGTCACGTCTCTACACTATTTTACCATTTTATTTTTAATGTTTTTTCTATAAACTATTTTGACATCAAATTTTGGATGTCCATTTCTCTATTAAACTTGACTAGCAAAAAATATATAAAAAGTATTTTCAATAAAATAAAATGATCAAAATACCCTTAAAAGTTTCAAAAGGTATTTTGGTCATTATATTTTATTGAAAAATTATTTTTAATATTTTGATAGGTGTGCCCCACTAAGAAGATGGCACGGACCAAATTTTATGTTCACACAATTTCTATAAAAAAAAGTAAAAAAAAAATACTTTGAGATGTCGCATCTAAGATCAAACGGTGAGGGGTTCTTTTGATCAAGATTGGATGGTTGGATGGTAGGGGGGATAGAACTTCTATGTTGTAGAGGAAGTACAAAAACGTTTCTCATTTTTAAATTGAACCGACGCCGTGTTCCAATGACTCATAATATTTCCGAAAGTACAGAATATGAGAAAAACTGGCCAAAAGAAAACCTAGAAGTAAACCACAATTAACATTTGCTGCTTGATCCCTTTCGAGTTGCATTAAAGTTATTTTCTTGCGCTCCCCGAAATAGTGTCTTACAGGATTGCATCCCTTTAAATTGCACAAAAATTAACCCGGCTTACTTTCTTCTTGCAGTCTCAGCAGCCATGAGTTGCTGACGATATAGCACCCCTTTAAAAGTGCACAAAATTTCATGCTGGTTTACTCTCTTCTCACATTTAAGCTAACATGAATCTCTCATCGTATAGCACCCTTTTAAATTGCACAACAAACTTGTGGTTTAGTCTCTTCTCTCACTCTTTAACTAATGGTGCTTCTTTTGCAGTATGCTCTAGCCCTGGTCTCCATACCAATATGGACAACACTATTTACTGCACTATTTTCACGCCCATGAATGCTTGAGGTTTATGGAACTTAGTATTAATATCGATATAAAGAAGTTCGGGTCGTATAATTCCAATTATGGAAGTTCATTCTGATATAATATTGTGGTGGTAGTGGCATAATATTGTGTATTGTGTTTTTTAACTTGGCTTTTTTTTTAAGATACGAACTGCTGGAAAATAAAAAATTGATCGCCCTTTCAAGCTCCGGCCATACAACAAGATCAACACGAAATGGACCAAAAGTTGATCGTGTTGTATGGCATGAAAATAAATGATGAAAACCACAAAAATTTTTAGTAACTTCGTTGATTTTCCACACGTATCACAAATTTATTGGATTAAGTCCAGCAATTAAACAGTCACTAAGGGTTGAGGTTAGAATATGTTGAAGAAGATAATTAAGGAAAAATTTCAGATTCTATAAGCTTAAAGTCGAGTTTCTCTTAAGCCCAAGAGAATGATGTAATAAATTTTTAAATTTTTTTATGTTTCTTACTTTTTATATTTTAAGTTTGGGGTTGATTTGGGTTTCCAATTTTATTTGTATCTTTTTTTTTGTTGTAGAGATTTGAGATGTAGAATTGAAAGTTTATTTTTGTAAGATTTAAAGGCTAGATTTTAAATTCATTAGAAAATCTTATGGTAGAAGTCTGGGTTTGGAGTTTTTCTTTTTCATATAAATATGTATCTATTGGACCAAGAAAAAAAAGTAGTGAAGAGAAAAAAGTTGATTTTTAGATCTTGTGAAAGATCTTCTTTCGATGGGCTCCTTTTGAGATCGTAAGAGAGGGTATGATCTCTCAATTTTTGTTTGTTAATTTTTTTAATTCGTTTATTTCTTTCCCATCTTCCCCACATCATAAATCCTTGTATGATTATTCGCAATTTGGTTAAGCGTACTCAATCTCACTTTAATCGTATGTCAAATCGACTTTTTCTAGAGAATTAAGATAGAGGTTGAAAGCGTATTAAGGAATAGAGTTGGTTCGCAAAACGGACAGTGAGCATGAGTACAGGCATAGAGTTTAAGGTTCTCATGACTGTGTGAGCATGAGAACAAGTTTTGACAGTTGAATTTTTTTTCAGCTAATTGCAGCAACAGGCATAACATTTGGAGCTTCAAAAAAAGTCCAAGGACTCCCACTTGCATCGCCATTACAACATTTCATTTATTAAGCACATTGAGATTGCATTCATAAGGCAATGCATATAGCTCAATTTTAATACAAGAGTAACATCAAACACATTCCATAGAACCTAATTACATTAGATGAACTCATAGGTAATCACATATACATAACAATTAAAGCAAAAAAAAGACTATAGGACCATGGCAAGCCAAAAGCATGCAGTCGCCCAAGGATTATCCAATCGGAGTTTGAACATGTCATACCAGATCACCTTTGAATAGCATACGGATCAAGCTCACTTTGCTGAAAATTTGGAAAGCCAGAAGAACATCCCGTAATCAAGCATCCAAAACCTCTCCAAGTTGAAGTCAACATGAACAAAGGGCCTAAGATCAAACTATTAGGGGCGTACCACATTGAGAGGAATTGGGGTCAATTTTACACCATCAACTACGTGAATGGGGTCCAAGAAGGGGTCGCAACGGACCTGACTAGACATGACCTGGTATACCCATCCTCCCTCGTGTTTGGGTATGGGTTTAAATTTTGGATCTAGACACTATTTGGGTCCGGGTCTGGGTCAAGCCGTACCCGATCCGTGCCTGCAGTCATAACGTATATGATAGCAACCTTTAGGTGCGCGCTAGATGTTCGGATTGTCACAATATTGGCATCTTTTATAGTATCATTAGCAAAAAAATGAAGCTTGTAGTCGTAGGGTATATAATGGTAAAAAACATGGCAAAAAAAAAAAAACAAAAAATAAACGTCATGGTCATAAGATGGCAATGGATTTGACCAGACCTAGAACCCAATGAGTCCGGGTACGGGTCCAAATTTTGGACCCAAATACTATTCGGGTTTGGATTTGGGTTTAGCTGGACCCGACCCATTGCCACCCCTAGGTCGAAGGTGAGGTCTTAGGAAAACAACGTTTTGGGCACCATTGAACATCAGAGCTCAGAGTCCATGGACTGAAACAAGGGCTGCAAGGGAAACTTATATGTGACAATAGAGAGGTGGCATGGAGGAATTAAATAAACCCATGATACGATCTCGTGTGAAGCTTTGCCTTAGGTTGGAAATTGAAATGGCCAATATAATGTGGGTGAAACCTAAGGGGTATCAAAGGGAGGCACAAACGCTGTGTCTTGCTTTTGGAGGGATTTTTGTAGAAGGCTTAAAATAAGGCACTAATGGCTCCTATTTATAGAGCAAAATAAGGGTTCAGTTGAATTCTTTAAAATTATTTTTAAGGAATGGTAATGCGAGTCATTAAGCATAATGATCAACTATCATAAATCAAGTGTTGAGATTGCAGGTCCATCTATCCCATAGTCATCCATATCCTACTTCACCTTTAATTTGAATTTCATCCCACTTTATTTAAAATTAATTTCATTGTACTTTACTTTGAGCATTAGGATAAGGTAGAGACAGAAAATATCTTAAGAGAGCAATTTAGAGAGAGAAAGAGCCTAGATTATTCTCTCTACTTTTATGTGAAGAGGAGGTAGAAAAAGCAAGGAGAGAGGGATAAGTGCTCTATCATGCTCTCTAGAAATTTGCAAAGAATGGTGTGAGAAAAAAATGTTGGAAGAGTATAATTTGAATGGAAAAAAGACTTTTTTTATAAACGTTCAAGAGACCGCCCATTTAGTATAAAAGTGGTTACATGTACCACCATTCACTAGTCATAAGTTACATGCACACTTTTAGTCACAACTTATATGTGCACGTCTTTAATCTCGATGGTTGTTGTTACAAGCCTCTATCTCTTCAGCGGTTACTGATTGTTGGATGTTCCACACGTGCCACACTCAAAAAAAGATATCAATCCTTAAGCACGCCCTGTACATGTGCTTGGGCAAAGGGCTCCCCATGTGAGCGTGCGAAGTGCACCACCCATCATGTGCCTTTATGCCTATGCACCTGTGTTTGCGCTTGTACAAGTATATGCATGGAAAATGCTTACACTTAAATACCAACCAAATCCACACTCTCGTCTTCAATATGAGATTAAAACTTATACTTTCTCTCTCTTCAAAATACAATTTAGAAAAACCATACAAACCATAATGTTATTTTGAAATACACACAAATATTTTTCAAAAACCAAAATACTAACATGCTATGCGCACACACTCTCACTCAATCCTTACATCAAATAATTCGAT